TGAAATTACTGAAACATATTTGAAATTTGATGGAGATATGATGACGTATAATATTTGAATTAGAACTGGGAAATCTTAGGGAAATCCACTTGGCAAACATGGTATATTTTTAATTAAATAAAAATGGAGAATTAGTTTTGAAACTTAGCATAAAAATAGAAAATTAGCAGAAAAATAATAAGGTGGCAAGCATATTTTCATAGTTTTCATAGATTTCATAGACATTAGGGCTGGAAGGAACCTTGGAAGATCATCAAGTCCAGCCCCCACCCAAAAGGCAGGAAGTCAGCTGGGGTCATAGGATCCCAGCAAGATAAGCATCCAATTTTCTCTTGAAGGTGTTCAATGTAGGCGCTTGAACCACCTCTGATGGCAGGCTGTTCCAGACCTTGGGGGCTCGGACAGTAAAGAAATTCTTCCTTATGTCCAGCTTGAAACGGTCTTGCAGTAGTTGACCTCGTCATCCCTTGGGGTGCTCTGGTGAACAAACGTCCCCCCAGATACTGGTGGTCACCCCGATAAATTTATAGGTTGCCATCAGATCACCCCTGAGCCTGCACTTTTTCAGGCTATAGAGCCCCATAGCTCTCAGCCTGTCGTCGTAAGGTCTGTTTTCCTGACCTCTGATCATGCACGTGGCTCTTCTCTGGACTCTCTCAAGCTTCTCCACATCCTTTTTGAATATATTTCTTTTTACCTCTTGTCTCCCTCTAATTCTTGAAGAATTAACAACTATAACCATTCAAAAGTGCATAATATTGAAACACAAAGATGCCCAGCCCAGAGGTAGATGACAAAGCAATGAAGAGTTTGGAAGGCAAGTGGTATAAGCAGAGGCTGAAGGAAATAGGCATGTTCATCTTGTGGAAAAGTCACTTCAGAAGGGACATAATAGCAGTCTACAAATACCTGAATGACTGCTATAAACATGAGGGAAAGCATATTATATTTCTTGCTGAAAAAAGTAAACCATGGACCAATAGATTGGAGTTGCAGCAAAGGTTTAAAATGGATATTGGGGTGGGGAATGAAGGAGTCTTCTCTGTTAGAAGGAGGTATTCCAGAAGAAGTTGGACAAAAATTGGTAAGCTATGATATGGGCTATATCTATTTTCTGGTATGGGTTTTTTCTTTGATCTTAGGCTTTGCTGGTTGCCACATGGGGCCAGGAAGGACTTTTCCCCCCTTCCTGCTGCTAAATATGCTAGGTGTTTGTTGTTGTTGTTGTTGTTGGGGTTTTTGGGTTTGTTTGGTTTGTTTGGTTGTTTTGGTTTGGTTTGGGCATTTTTTGTTTGCTTTTTATTGTTATTTTGCCTTCCTCAGACACATTGGATGTTGGCTGCAGCCAGAGCTAGGAATTTTGATTGGGATGTACCAAGGCTGCTGAGACTAACATGTGGAGATTCCTGGTCAGGGTCAGACAAATTTCCATATTTGAAGTCAGGAAGGAATTTTACCCCTTGGCCAGATTGCTATGGACTGTGGAGTTTTTTGCCTTTCTCTGTGGCAGGGAGCATGGATCTCTTCCTTGGATCTCTTGGACATGACCCCATGAGTGGGATCGTGTTTCCCCAGGGACAAGTAGCAGTGGCACAATGTGTGCTACTGCTACTTGTTTCTGGGGAATGCCTTATGCCACACTTGTTCTGGTGTGCAGCATGTTGCCCTAGGTGGTGTAGGGGAGCAGCGATGGCTGCAGAAGCCTTACTTGGGGTCCTGAGGGCTTCTGGAAGCTACAGCCATGGTGATCCTGTAGCAGCGAGCCTTGCCAGAAGCTGGAGCATGGCTCTAGCTAGCCAGGAACTGGTTTTGGGTGGTGAGCACTACCGCCACATGAACTGGCCTGCTTTTTAGGTATGGGTTTTTTGGTTCCTGGATCTCCCAGGGTCAAACCCCTCTCACCCTGAACAGTGATGTAGTAGTGTGGGGAATGCCTGCATCTGTGGTGTGTGTCATGCACAGAGCTGTAGACAGGTGCTCAGTGCTGCACAGTGCATGTCCCCACTCCTCTGGACACTCCCCTTGAGTATATTTTAACAACCTTTTCTAACAGCAGGATGTTGGTTGCTGTGTTCCCTCTGCTTTACCTGTGGCTAGTTAGGTTGCAGTCTTGCGATTGTCTCAGGGTTGACTGTGAAGATTTTGCTAATAGGTTAGACAATGGATTTGGACTGGGATAATATTGCCTCAGGCAGGGGGTTGAATAAATTAGTGGTCTCCAACCTTTTTAAGTAGGAGATTACCTTTGGCATTTAAAAGCAACCCAAGATCTAACATGTGCTGCTGCCACCACTCCCCTCCCTCCACCCAGCAGGTAAGTCTGTGGGAAGGGAAGGAGGGGGGCTCAGATTGAGGCAGAGGGAGTAAAATTTATTTGGGTGCACCTCCCCAGCAGGTAAGTCCCACCCAGCCAGGGCCTCACTCAACTTACCCTGCTCCTGCTTCTGCTACACTATCCCTCACACAGGGGCCACAATCTAGCCCCTGCCCCTTCCCACCCTGATGGACTGACCTGCTGGGCTGGGGCACATGAGTGCATGAACATAGGCACTCAGCCCCCCCACCCCAGCCTTAGATCAACTCCAAGAGGCTCTAAGATCTATCTCAAGAGGCTCCGAGATCTACCGGTGGATCGAGATCCACTGGTTGGTAGCCACTGGACTAGATGATCTATGGAGGTTCCTTCGGTTCCTACTTCTCTACGATTCTAAAGGATCCATAAAAGTTTTAAGTGTGATGTGATTCAAGCAACTTGAGGAAGAAATATTACTACTGAAGCAGCATTTTAGATGGAGTCAAAGGGACATTTTATTATGCATTATTTGCATTATTTTAAATGCAGATTGTGAATAAAGAGGAGGAAGAGAAATGAGGGAATCAAACTGCAATGCAAATCTCACATCCAGGCCCACTTCACCTTAGTGGATGAGAAGGAAAATCTAAGTCTTAGAAATGCTGTATACATATCATCGCCAAGATTTAGGCATATTCTGAGTTGAGATATGAGATAGGGGGAGCTAAGCTGAAGATGATATCCAGATTTTAGTTATAAATGAGATGGATAGCTTTGTTATTTCAGAAAAGTGACAGAGAAAGGGGAAGTTGGGGTATCAATAAAATACATAGAATTAAGGAAGATTCAATGAAGGAAAGGAGGAATAGAATATATAAATGCTTTGTAAAACATTTTGACTACTTCCTGGAAAGGGCTTTCTTCAATATTTTGCGCTGCATTGGAAACACAAAAACCAATAAAATTACCTCCATCTTCCCCCTGCCCAAAAACAGGTGTTTTGTTTTACTCAAAATGTATTTTAGATTGGGGTAGTGACAACAAGTTGATATTTTGGAGGGAGAGGAAACAATTATTTTGACCAATTTCTATCTTAATTTTTAAACCAAAAAAGCAATATTACAAGTCTCACTGTATCAGTTACAATAGACAAAACCCCTAAATTATTCCTATCATATGCCCTTGGGGGGAGGTGGGTAGTGGAGTCCCCCAGGGCTCGGTCCTGGGGCCTGCGCTGTTCAATTTCTTCATCAGCGATCTTGATGTTGGGGTGGAGAGCAACCTGTTTAAATTCGCTGATGACACCAAAATTTGGGGGGAGGTGAGCACGCTAGCAGGGAGAGAGAGATTGCAGAAGGATCTGGATAGGTTACAGGGGTGGGCAGACAGGAACAGGATGCGTTTCAATACGGACAAGTGCAGGGTGCTGCACTTGGGTAGTAGGAACCAGCAGCACACTTATAAGATGGGGAGCTCCCTACTTGAGAGCACGGAGGCGGAAAGGGATCTTGGTGTCATTATTGACTCCAAGATGAACATGGGCCGACAATGCGAGGTCATGGTTGGCAGGGCTAACCGGACCTTGTCGTGCATCCACAGGTGCATCTCGAGTAGAGCCAGGGAGGTGATCCTCCCCCTCTATGCGACGCTGGTCAGGCCGCAGCTGGAGTATTGTGTCCAGTTCTGTGCGCCCCATTTCAGGAGGGATGTGGACAACATGGAGAGGGTCCAGAGGAGGGCCACCCGCATGATCCGGGGACAACAGGGCAGACCCTACAGTGAGAGACTGCGGGACTTGAACCTATTCAGCCTCCACAAGAGAAGGCTGAGGGGGGACCTGGTGACCGTCTATAAACTCACTAGGGGGAACCAGAAGGGTTTGGGGGAGACGCTGTTTCCCCTAGCCCCTGCTGGCATAACAAGGAATAATGGGCACAAGTTGATGGAGAGGAGGTACAGATTGGACATCCGAAAAAACTACTTCACAGTCAGGGCGGCTAGGAGCTGGAACCAACTTCCAAGGGAGGTGGTGCTGGCCCCTACCCTGGGGATCTTTAAGAAGAGGCTGGATACTTACCTGGCTGGACTCATTTGAGTCCCGTTTTTGTTTTTAGGGTGAGTGGTTTTGTTTGTGTTTTTGGGTTGTTCTCCCGCCCTGGCGGGGGGTCGGGCTAGAAGATCTATTAGGTCCCTTCCGACCCTGAAACTATGAAACTATGAAACTTCCAAGGAGGGAGATTCCTCAGTCTCTCTACGTAAACTGTTCCACTACTTAACTGCCCTCACAGAGAGAAAGTGCTTATTACCAGCCAAACTAAATGTTCCTAGTTCCTATTTAAGATTATGGCTTCTTGTCCTGTCCCTAATGGCCAGAGAGAATAGTTTGTCATCATTATCTTTGTAGCTACCCTTTATGCAGTATCAAATCCCCCTTAAGTCTTCCCTTCTCCAGACTAAGTAACTCCTGTTCTTCCAACTCTTCTAGAAGAATAGAGTACCTTTCTATAAAAACAGTAGCAAATCACATCTGCAAAACTTGTTCTTGTCGCCACTGACATCAATGGGGAGTTGCCATTGGCATCATAACACAGTACATAAGCATACAGAATGCAGTTTCAGATTTTATAAGCTTTCCAACAGGTATGTAATGGCCTTTGAAAAAAATAATATAACTTTTCTATTTACAACAACAAGAGTAGAATCATACCTGCAGTACATCTTGGTAAAAGAAAAGTAACTTTTTTAGTCCAGTAGGTGCAAAGAATTCTCCAAGAAGCTGAAACTAAAATAAAATTGCAGTGCTAGTTAAAATAACATGTTTTGAGGAAAATATGATATACAGCAAATTTAGGAAAGATATTTAATAAAATACCAAATCAATATTACCTTATCATCAGAAATAATGGAGTCCTCTACTTCCTGTATGTTTAAACCTAACACATCTGCTAATCTTGATATCAAATACTTGTGTCTGTCATCTAACTGAGCTCTTCTCTCCTCCTTGGTGACTTTGGCCTGCTTGGCCATTTCTCTCCTGGCTTCATTGGTCAGGACTACACTTTTCTTCCCAACTGGCTAGGAGACAAAAGTTTATTAAAATATGGTATATCAGTTTTCACAAATTTTACTTAATATTTAAGGGCTAAATTATGGTTTTGATTTTTTAAGACAGTTTCATAAATTATTTCAATGGGCAGTTCTGCTGGAAAGTACTTTATTTGGTTAGTACATATGTAAAATGTTTTTGATACAATTATTGTATTTCATAGTGTATAAGTTGAGTTTTGAAGCCAAATTTTTAACTCTTAAAATTCGACCTTGACTAACACACCGTCCCCTGCAAGCAGCATTGCCTAAGAGCAGACAGCACAGCCCGCTGCCCAGGAGCTCAGGCAGCACATGGCCCACTCGCAGTTCAGCTGGCCAGGCCTGGCGGGGCCTGCTACCATGGAGGAAAGGACCAGACCCTCCTGCAGCTCAGGGGCTGCCTGGCCCAGTGGCAGCTTACACCCCAGCCACG